ATGGAGGTTGTGATGCTGAGTGAAGGCTTGGAATTCAAACCGCACCTGTGACCTAAGGCTCATTTTTGAATACACAATTTCAAAGATTAAGACCTTACTGGTGAACAGAAATCCTTTGTGTTGCAATAGCTTCTCCCTTTAAGAATAACTACACCTTCATAAGCCCCATCTTTTCCATCTTCCCATTTGAAGAACAGCAGCATTGAAGTACAGACAACTCCTAACCCTGTCCATTCACTTGCAAGCCAGTAACAGAGACTGCAAGAAAAAGGAATCCCCTGAGCAGGCTGCATAACATTTTAGCTCTATGTGCTAAGACAGTTGCACTCAAAAGGCAACACAGGCTCACGCTTCATGGCATCAGCTACCCTACTGCATTTCTACGGAAATTTGTCAGAATTTCAAAGTGCTTTTACAAGCAACATCACCTCTCCTGTTTTAGAGATGGGCAAACAAGTCTGGGAGACATGCAAGGACCTTGCCCAAACAGCAAAACAGTGTGTTAGGTGCAAGCCACACGAAGGAACGGGGTCTCCTGGCCTCAGGTCCTCAGTCGTCTCACCAAGTGCTCAGTGTCCACAGACACTGATAAGGGATACCTCGATATTCTCCTGCTACAATACCACTTTCCTGGCTGTGAAGGAGCTTCAGCCTCTTTGAGGCCCTGCCTATGGACTAGCATGGTTAGCAAAGTATCGAACGGACCAATGGTTTGGATCCAGTGTGGCAAATGCCACTTTTCTATGGAGTGGAACCTAATTTTGAACTAGTGTTTGTGACAAGCTAAGCAGTAAGAAAACTTCATTTCACTGCTCTATCAATCACTTCAACCTTGACCTCACAGGACCACTCAGTGAAAGAGATAGAGGGGTAATTTAAGCCCTGTTTTATGCAGGGCAGAGGGCTTAGAAAGCAATCCTAGCTCCCTGTTAAGACTCATTTTATTTGCCTGAAATGCTTCCCCAAGTTCCCTGAACGCTGGTTGCATACATTCTCCACATATGTATGTGGGCAAAGCACACATCCTGCCCAGCCCCAGAGCCGAATGCAGAAGGATTAGTTTGTGTACCCCACAACACATAATGGGACGCAATGAAATCGTACCCTGGGTGCCAGACTCCTAATGTGCCGAACAAGATTCGGATGGCATCACTTTATACTGCTAAGAGGCCACGTTTCATCATGAAGCAAGATGATGCATAAGGCCTTAGTACAGCACAGTTTCGCATCTCCAGAATTCACCTTCTGTCCAGCACTGTTCAGGGAGAAGACGGCACTGCCCAGGCAGTGGGGCAGTTAAGGGAGACAGAGTGTGCAGGGAGGCTTTATGAGGCTGCACAGGTAGAAATGGAGACCCAACCGTCACACCATGTTTCTTTGTAAGTCTCTCTCATTGTGACCCTTGCGCTCAAGTGAACAGGTATTTTCCACAAATTGAGATTCCCCAAAAGTAATGAAAGTGAATTGGAAAGGCACAGTACTTACTTTAAAACAGCACCTCGGAGCGCCTCCCTCTCTTTGGCTTCACCTGGCTCTTCTCCAGTGCAAGGGATAACGTCTGCCTCTGTGTACCTGAGCACAAGGGGTTAAGGAACGTACAGCCTTGCTGCAGACAGCAGAGACTTTTGAGATGGTTGGGGCACTATCTGGGATACCGAACAAATTCACTCCAACTGGGAGCACCTCAAAAGAAGAGGGGCCGGTATCCATGGAGGGGCTGGCTTTTAAATTTTGGATTAAAGTTTTGTTTTAGGTGGAAAGAAACGGAAAAGTCCTTTGACAGCAACATGATGCCACAGCCTCTTAGAAGGGAAAAAACAATTCCTCAACCTCTGCAAGCCTTTCACCAATTCCACTACTTCTGTTTGAGGTACAGAGATCTTTTACCAGCTAAGGGCTGGGGCTTCAGTCTTAAACCCTGGCTCCCAAATGGAGAAGTTCCCAAGAACTGCCCTTAATGATAGTTCTGCCCATGAACTGTCTAATGAAAGGAAAAAAACCCACAGTCTCTTACAGTGGCAGGTGAGTAGTGCTTGAAATGTTTACTGCACAAAAGCCCTGAAAACAAAAGCGTGTCTTGTGAAAAATAAACTCAATTCCTACCCATCAAGCAGGAAAAGTTATCCATATGGGAGAAACGTGGATGGAGACAATAGATTGCTTATGAAACAGAATAGAGAAACACTAACTTTGATCTCCTGCAATGTCTCCTACAGACTTCACCAACCAGGTCTGAAGTAGTGCTGCATCAACAGAAGGATCTCAAAGGGAACAACTGGGAATCCTCCTAGTTCAAATAGCATGGGAACTGGGGAAGGCGGTGTCATTTCCAGTAGGGCTGGGCACAGATTATCCACCACTACCCAGGGCAGTGCTGTTTGAAAGCTAGCTGAAGATGCAACTCCAGGTTCCCCCTCAGTAAGAGCCTTTAAAAAACGATACTGTGGTTTCCCGTATTCAAGTGTGTCGTCTCCATCCACATCCAGGTCAGCGTCGCTGTCTGGATTCTCCTTGCCGCTGCACATGATAAACCCAGAACCTGGAAGAAAATAAAACACGTGGATGAGCATTTGAATTGGAAATTAAATGCAGGAGATCTCCTAAGGATGGTGTGACAGCACCAGTCTGCAGGCTGTCCTTTACTCTTAACAGCCTCACAAAAGGTACCATCTCCAAACACAGCACAAGAACAATTTTCAGAAGACTGCACAGAAAACACTCACAGAAATGCTCTAACTTCCTGAATTTTATGCTCTAAAATGCCTCTCAACACTGAAAACGAAACATTCTTGACCTTTTGCTCTCTGCACGAGTTATTTTAGAGCTGAAGGCACTGGAAGAGTCTCTCTCAAAGGCAGAAAAAAATTGAAGCAAAATAGGGAAGACTGATTTTTCATAGAAGTGGTTAACACAAAAACTACACTACTAGCAGATAAGAGAAGGCCACAGGAACGTTCTGAATTAGTCCTTAATTCAGATGCAGAGGGCAGGCAGAGGCTAAAATACAATTAGAAATACCTTTTTCTTTTTTAAATGCATTTAGTCATGGCTTAGATTTTTACAATATAAAACATTTAAAAATAGCAAACCTCTTTCGCGGAGGGCGGGGGGAAAGAAATCAGATTCCACAGTCGTTAACAGCCCCTTACAAGCACTTCTTATGTGAGCAAATTCCAGTGCAAGTCAACAAGAGTCCTGCACTTCCAACAAGGCTGGATCAGGCACGAGCCCAGTCCCAGCTCCAGCAGGAAGCAAGTCTATGCAGTTCTACCTGAGACTGAACCGCGTAACAATTGCCACTTTCTAACAACATATACATTTATTTTGGTTCTCAAGCATTTTGTTGTCTGTGTTATTGCTGATTGTAACCAGGCTTCTTTTAATTGAATCTGCACGCAAACACCTACAAAGGTGAACCTTCACATGGTATTTGCTGCCTGAGGTTTATTAATAGAAGGGAAGCTAAGGAAGACCTATATTTACTCTTTATGTGATTTAACATTGGATATGCTCTCTCCCGTGAGACTGGAAATTAAGCAAAGATTTCCTGAATCCTAGGGTGGTGCAAAGTCCTCATTCACGTTCGATTCTGTAGCAGATCTAAGCTGTCTGGGGACGTAAGCTACACAGATAGAAATTTGCTCACTCTGGCTGCCTCCAGTACGCTCCTTCACTTAGCATCCCGCTGTCCAGACAGCAGACCCGGACACCTGGCTCACAGACAGAGGGTACCTCCTGGAGCCTGAAGGACCCGGCACATCCAGATGGCTGGTGACCTCAGTCTGTGGCTAGACCAGGGAGCACAGCCCACCGGCAAACACTGAAAGAGTAAGGTAGACATAGCCTTGGCTTCGCACAAATGCCTTCAAAGTGGTACATTTCTGCACTGTGAACATGGTTCTAACTGCAGAAGACAGGCTAAAATTAACGTAGAAGCACTGAATATAAGATGCACGGCTGAAGAGTGAAGACATTCCCAAGCATGAGGGTAGCCCTTCTAGTGCTACAGATGCCTGAGCCTGTTTACGCTACTGGGCTCTCGCCAGCACATTTACACAAGCTCACGTTGTCAGCAGCAAACTTGCACTTCCCAGCCCAGAAGAGTGAGCTATATTTCTAACAGTCTGCATCTGTGCAGAGAGCAGGGCAAGGCGAAGGTCTCATTTCCAAGGACAGCATGCAGACGCAGTTCTTTACTGTCGCTCTCTAGGAACGGATGCTCTCGCTGATTCATTAAGCCCCCAATAAAATTTGTTTATATGGATTTGATATTTCTCTTCCCTGAATATAAAGAAGGTCCTTAACGAGTGATAACTGTAACATGACAATGATTTTAAGACTAACCTTTCCCCAGAAGCATAAACTACCTTTTACTTCAAAGTAATTGCCAGCCTTTATTTTCAGCAGAGGCAACAGAACTAGCATTGACAATGCAGCATCCACCGTCTGCACCAGGTACAGCAGGAGCCACGCTCGTAGGTCAGCTCTGCAGCATCGCTGGGGCAGCCCTCTTCCAGCAGACCCCTTATGAAGTGTTTCACATACTGGCTGCATGCTGCCAGCCAACCCATGCCAGGAGCTGCCTTCTCTTGCTGCAATGGTTCATTTAGTAAATCTTGAATCCTTCAGTTCATCACAATGTTTGGGAGAAGATTTAGAGGAGTAAGAAAGACCTGTCAAAGAAGCTGGATAGTCTTTCAAAGCTGCCTTAGAAGTCACAGTGGGCAATGGGGTGGTAATTTACAGGTATGGCATTTAACCTGCAGTAACACTGTCCCTGCACCTGGCATTACTTTAGCCCATCACTTCTCAAAGGCCATAAACTTTGGACACACAGGTCTTCATTTTTCTTGTAGCTGTGGGAAACACAAATCATGCAAAGCTGGAGCTGTGACTTGGCCAGTCCCGGAGGCGATCTGAATGTTAGCCAGACAATGAATACATGGAGCAAGTGCCTTGGGGGGGGGGGGAAGGTGTGCAAAACAGTGAATGTACATGGGCCTGCTCCCCGAGTCCCTCCCTCTGCAAGGATGCCAAGCACACAGCAAACGTGCACCTTTCCATCAATTTTGTTTCCAAGTGACTCAAGCCAAGTAGTAGTTTATGGTTAGAGCTTAAGAAAAGAAGATCTGCTTACTGCGATACAATTTACAAATATTAAGGCACCCTGACTTCAGAATCCTGGTGTCCTTGCTCTCAAAACCTTTGTACTTAAGAAAATCCCTTTTAAGTCCATAAGGAAAATACTCCACAGACCTTTTGCTGAATCTGGCTCTATAATAGGAACCACTGCATTCCCAGCAGAGTACTATCCCCCCTACACAGGGAGGGTATGGAGGAAGGGTTTGGAGAGTACTTGTTATGATGACAGACAGACACCGGGATGATCTGATACAGCATTTCAGTCAGAGAGGAAGGCATAGCAGAGAAGTTCATAGATTAAGATGAGGGGCAGGAGAAGGGCAAATTTTCTTTTCTGATCAAACAAGGACTCCCAGGCCAGGGCCTAAAGGAAGCTGCAATAAGCTGATCCAACTCTCAGATTTTCACCAAACATGGATTTGGAGTTTTGATTTTTTTGTTGGTTTGTTTTGGGTTTTTTTTGGGTTTTTTTGTTTGTTTGTTTGGGTTTTTTAGCATGACCAAGTGCAATCCATTGCAACACTGCAAAAAAAATTATACAGAAACTGTATGCTAAACAAAGCAACCACCATGTATCCAAAACAGACTCTGAGCACAAGCTGTGCTATCAGCTTCACAGAGGCTGCTTTAAAAAAAAAAGGAAAACCAAAATCCACAAAATATGTTTTTAATGTGAATCAAAAGGTCCATAAATCCCACTACTGCCACTGCATCCAAGAGAACACCAAAGAAGAGGAAGCAAAGCTCGGTCCAGCATCACCTGTGGAGTGAACGGCCTGCCACTGGCACCCTAACGCCCTTTCACCTGCAGCAGGGACGGATTTTGAGGCCAGTTCTGGCGGGCTGGGGTTTGGTGCCACAATTTCGACCTGACCCTCCTTGTCTAACTTCCTGGGTTGCTTCCATGCACAAAGCCAGTGAAAACACCCACGCAGCTGTTCAAATATTTGATGTCTGAACGGCTTGACATTATTCATTCATCTCAGGCTCATTCAAACCAGATTTCTGGACAAGTGCTGTTATAAATGGATTAAGAGGACCACTAAATGCAAGGAAGGCCCGATAGGATCACACCTGCTTCTCGCTAACTCAGCCCAAATGTAAAGAAGGCTCAGAACTTCCAGCTCATACCAGCAGCGCATTGCCATCCAGGAGCAAGGAAAACGTGAAATGGAGCGCAGAGGGTGTTGAGCAGAATAAAACGGCCTTTGCAACGGCATTGTTTCGGACCTGCTAGAGGAGAACGTGAGCTTCCAGAAGAGCCCCTACCACTACACTTGGTTGATTTGCAATTCAATAGCATGCACTGGGAACAGGGAAGGGTTCCTCCAGCAAGGCTCGGCTTCCGAAGGTCGCGCAGTAATTCACGGCCATCAGCAACACTGCCTAGAGCAGACCTCTAAAGCCAGTGCGACTATCCAGAGGTCAATGCTCAGGACCAGAACTGTATCCCAACGTGTTAATAAAGTGAAATCCGACAACTGAATGTTAAGTTGTGAGTTTGACCTAGGAATTCACAAGAGACATGATCTGTTATTCACAGAAGCAGCTGCAACTCTTACAAGGAGAGTACCTAAGGCCTGAGGAATGTAATTCCACATGTGAATTTGAAAACGCTGCTTTCGGATGAAAAAAGAACAAAGCCAAAAGCACACTCTCCTCTCTTTTTCCCTTTCCTTGTTGAAGAATTTTTTGCTCTTGCCGTGTATTTGGTAGGAGGCAACTGCTTGTCATATGCTGCCAGCCCCGATACAATTAGCCTCCTGATGCTAAAGCAGCACAATCCTCTGACAGTCTTAATCCCAGCTGCCTCCTTAAGGTCCAGACAAACAGGAGTGAGCAGGCAGGTCAGATGCCGGGGCCATTAAGCAGAGAAAAAACAAAGTTACAGCTCTGTCTCCAATCCCCATTGCTCTTGTAGCCAGGTGCTCTGACAAGCAATTTCAGCACTGGTATTGAGTGGCACCTCTATAAACCCTGTGACAGTTTGGGAGACAAACTCCCCCATCAATCAGAATGTACCTATCAAGATCACTTACCTAGAGCGCCCGCCACCCTCCAAGCACTGTGTACACAGCTTTGCTTGGGCTGGCCTCGGAGCAGTCTGCCTGAGCACCAATTCAAGGTAGTTTCTGAAAAATTTAGGTACTCTACACAAGCAACAGTGTTTCTGAAATACTGATGCAGAGCTCTGAAAAGCAGAAAAAACTCACATGTCTCCGCCGCCGCCAGGCTGTGGTACTGGCAGGCTAGAGGAATCAGCTGAGCTTGAAGGAGACTGGAAAACACTTCCCACTTTCTTTCAGATGCCTATTAATAATGGCTGGAGATAAATTTCACCAGAAATCCTTTCCTTAAGTTTTCAGAGCACTTTGCTTTCTCCTAAGTCACCGCCTA